TCAGGAGTGAGGGGCAGCAGTAGGGCTGGGGGGCTGTGGCTTAGGAGTGAGGGGCAGATGCATACACATGCACACAGACACACACAGACAGAGACATACACAGACAGTGCCCAGCAGGTAATTCTGTGGAGGGGAAGGGATGGGAGCTGGGGGGCAAAGCAAGGCCCCCGCAGTGAGGGAAGGAGCCGGGCAGGGGCAAGCACTGGAGTGAATGGGGCCCCGGGGCCAGGATGGGTCGTGGGACGGAGCCACAAGTGGCTTATCCAGAGGGACGGGGTGTGTGGCTCCCCACAGCTGCGTGCACTTCTGGGGAGGGCATGGGGGGCACATGCCCCCCGGATTTGTGTGTGGAGCAGAGATGGGCTGTCTAGGGTTTTTTTTAATTATCTTCTGTTGATTTTGCTTTCCCCAAAGGTCAAGAGGAGGGCATGGAGCAGTCTGTTGTGCTCGCTATGGCTTTTCATAAAAATGGACTGTATGCAGCGGGAAGTGTAAGAAATCCCCCTTACTCCCTGAACAGCTTCATGCAGTGTGTTTGCAGAGCCCACTATGGACAGAAGCAAAAAGGTGTAGAAAGGAGACTTCTTGCTAGTCTTACACATATACTGCTGTTTACAATCTGAAACAACATACATAGAGAGAAAATGCCATTGTTTTGAAAGTCTGATATGCAAGTAGTGGTTAGGATTCCTGTGTTTATTGGTGAAAAGCTGTTGATAAAGAGCTTTCCAATGAGAACTAAGGAGCCTAAAGAAATGGAAAAGAATGGGAATGGATGTAGAAAAACAGAATTACAAAGATAGTTGTCCTGCTAATTGTGCTAGTAGTCCAGCTCTTTCCTTTTTGCATGACACAAGCTAACAGTAAAAATCTTGCTTAGTTGTTCTCTTTCAAAACCCAAGAGGGAAAAATTTCTGTGCTGTCTCAGTTAAATCAGATCAGGGTGCCTGAGTGTTAACTGGTCACAGAATCAGACCCATTAAAATTAAACATGGGCTGTTATTAAGTCTAGATTTTTACAGAACGTCTTTCACTATTTTGACCTGGGAATCTCCTATGTACAGACAAGATAAAAGTTAATAAGACCATCTGTGGCAAGGAACATTGGAATCCTGATGTAGCTGGAGTTCTCAGAAGGTCTCTCAGTGAAGTTTTGCTGTATCTGTTAGGAAAAATGGTCTGTATCTTTCTTGGATTTGTATTTTTCTACCTAGGATGGCGTTGTGCATATATGCCAGACCAAAGGCTCATTCTATACAATGAAAAAGTACCTGGATGTATCGGAACCTATAACCAGCCTTGTTTTCTCCCCTGATTTCTCCAGATTGCTAGTAGAAACAGAAAAGGTACAGTATGTGACATGATAATATTAAGTGACAAGATGTCCATGCCAGCTGCAGAAGCTGCACAACACTGTTGGAATCTCTCTGCCCAAATTCACCCATAATATAGTCCCACCGAAGTCAATACTGTTACCCACAGTGAATTTGGACCAGTCTCTCTAGAACAGGGGTGCTCAACCCCCAGCCCACAGGCCAGATCTGTCCCCTGGCCTGTGGGGCTCCATGAATCTGAAAATCTGGCAGGGTGGGGAGCAGTGCCAGTGTTAATTACCGCTCCCATCCTGCCAAATTTCTGGATCCATGGAGAGCGCCAAGGGCCTCATAGTGTGCCCTGCATGCTAAGTTGGGCAAGCAGGGTGGCAAAAAGCCTGATCCTGATCCCTGCATGCAGGGCTGAGTGGGGGGGTAGCACGTGTTCTGATCCCAGCTCATGGGGGTGGTGCAGGGCCGGGTCCCAGTGTGCAAAGGTGGTGCAGGACCCAGTCCTGGTATGCAGGATTGGGTGGGGGTGTATGGGGTGCCAGAGCCTGATCCTAGGACACAGGCCCTGATCCTGGCATGTGGGGCCTGATCCAACCTGCAGACCAGCTCTGTGTCACTCTGAACTACTTCACTGTAAGGGTGGCCAGAGCCTGGAATAGGCTTCCCAGAGAGGTGGTGCTCTCACTTTCCCTGGAAATCTTCAAGAGGAGACTGGATAGGCACCTGGCTGGGGTCTTATGACCCCTGCCACTCCCAGTGCTCCTTCCTGCCCATGGCAGGTGGTTGGACTAGATGATCTATCTAGGTCCCTTCCAACTAATTAATTCTATGATTCTATGACTCATCTGACCCATGAGGCCAAAAGGTTGACCAGCACTAGTATAAAACGTAACCTTTATGAAGTACAAAATGATGTCTTCTGATCATCTAGATGGTGGTTTGTACATATAATTGTTACCTCCGTCTTATTTCTGATCCTGCAGTAAAATGGTAAGAGCTAAAGTATGGGACTCTTAAGTGTAAATGTAGGCATGTACATAATAAATCTTTGCAGTATCAAGATCAAAGAGGTAGGGCAAAGGGAAATTTAAATTCTCTTTCTCCTTATAAGCTCTATATTTCCTTATCCTTATATAATTTCATTTGGCTTTTTTTAATGTTTTGATAGTTTGCTTTTTACACATAATTTCCATGATAATTCAGGAGAGGGAAAAAACCATCTTTGGGTACAGGGCGGAGCAAGAGACTGCAGGTCTGGATTTCTAGGTTCCGTTGTTCCTGTTGATTCTGTGACTGGTTCCTTGCTCTCTTAAAGGCTTTTAAATCCAGCTTTGTGGCTAGCTGGATCCAAGTGAAGTGCACTAGCTGAAAATCAGGTTTGTGTAAATTGACTTAATCCTCTAAATTCAGTTCAGTGGCCTTCAGTTTGCTTACCTCACTGAGTCTCTGGTCATCTTTTTTTCTTGTATCAGATGCGTGTAAAAGCTTAGAGAGCAAATTCAGAAAGCTGTGGACATATGAAGGCTTTTACTGAACACTCTATAGCTAAATAATGAATTATCATTTTCAATTGTCAGGGATCAGTCTATATCTATAAACCTACTTCCAGTGAGGAAGTTGTCAAGCTCTTGGATGCATCCAGCAGTCATTTCCTGTCAGCTGATTTTCTTACTCCAGGAAACAAATACTGTGTGGTAAGGGACCTGCTCATTTATTAACTGTAATAATGGTTATTCTCAAATACTGAAAATGTTGCTGTGGAAGAAAGGCAGATGTGTTCTAGAGACTGGGGCTCACTCACATTATGATCTATGCATGCAAACAATATTACTGATTTGAAAGTGCGGTAGACTTACTGCTCATGAATGTACATTTGCTAGTCCATTGTAATGGTTTCATTTGTCTTCTCCAGTCCAACCCATCCCCATGCTAACTAGGTTAAATCTAGCCCTCTTTTATTCAGAAGTTCATTCATATCTATTTTGTTTGTCCACATCCTTTGTCATGCCAGTGTAAAATGGCAAGGCTTATTTCATCTTTAAATTAATATGACTGAGATTATAATCTAGCCCTGGGATGCATAATGGTTAAACCACAGATTAGTAAATTCTAAGGCTGGCTCTGCTGCTGGCTCACTCTGAGCTCCAGGTTGATACTGGTGCTGGATTTGGGCTCAGTACAGATAGTGAAAGCTGAATTAGGTGGCTTTATGGCACCCATGCTTCAAAATGGCGGCAGGGGCACATTAAGTAAAGGTTGCTTGATGAGCTTTAATTAAAGTGCCCCCGCTGCCATTTTGAAACATGGGGACACTAAATATACATGATGTGGAGACTGCTAGAGCATGCTAATTAGCATGTGCCAGCAGACTCGCAGCAGACTCGATTAATCAAGTCTGTGCTGACACGTGCTAAATAGCATGCGTTAAAGCAGGGGTCCGTCGTGTGTATAGGTGCCCTTACTGCCATGCTCTCACTGGCTTTTCCAGCACTCAGGTTAGAATAGTGAGAGATTGCTACATCATGAGCTTACTTTCCTGCAGCCTCTACGGATTTTTCCAGGAGCAAGAGACATCTGATACATGGGAATGTCCTGGCTGTATGTCTCTTGATTTGCAAACACCTTGACATTCCTTTATATCAGGGTCCCCTACAGGATTTGGTTTAGAGCCAGGTGTATTGATTTTTCACCAGGTATGGAAGGTCCCAGGTTGCCAACCTAAAGGAGCTTAGGATGCTGAAGTATCTGCCTCCTCATTTTGAGTATGGCAATGACAAAATGTTTCTGCTTTTCTAGAAGAGCTGAGGGTGAGTTACAGATTTTTACATGACCCTGAAGAAAGAGTTTATTAGATTAGTCCTGCAAGGTGCAGATGATCCTCTTGTGTGAAGACTGGTTCTTCTCTTGTAGGTCATTTCTACTGCATTTATTTTCCATAGAAAGTCACTGCCTGCTTCTTGTCTATTTCCTGTTTATTTCCTTCTCCTCTTCCTCCCTGCCACCACCTCTAATCAAAGTGTTCTCTCTTGTTGAACAGTCTGTAGCAATTTCAGGGGAAGTGCACTTTTGGTTGTTGGAGGATGGGACCTGCATCAGCAAGCTAAGCCTCAATAAACAGGTACAGATAATTGAGTGTTTACATTTGAACCAATCACAGCCATCAAATTAAAAAAAAACAGCCCACAAGAATATGGTTTTGCAAAACACTTGTCAAAAAATAAAATGCCTGGAATTTAACATTTTAGGAGTACTGAAAGTTTGTTTGTGTAGAGCCCAATGGGTCAGGAAAATCGTGGATCTCACACCCAGCTCTCTCAGCTTCAGAGATGACCTGTTTTTTTATTCAATGTAGTTCAAAGGGAAGGACCTCTAAAATGTTGACTGTACATCATCACCTTCCAGTCACTTCACCAAGTTCAGGGCCACATCTTTGCAGCTGTTCCACAATGAGGTCCCCTTCCGAAGGCCAGTGCTGCCTAGTGTATGGCACACTGGGATGGAGTTCAGGAGACCTGGGTTCCATTCCTGGCTGCCACTAGCCTGCCAACTGACTTTGATACATCTCTACTCTGTCCCGTGCCTTGGTTTCTCCAAATGTAAAATAAGGATGTTAAATTGTCTCTACTGAGTGCTAGCCGAGCAGCCGGCTGGTGCATTCTGTCATTTTGATCCCGTTAACCATGTTTTATAAAACAATTTGAAAAGCAAAAAGCTGTTTGTCAGCAGTAGTTCAACCTTGTGTGTCTGTGCCACTATGCAGCCAAATTGTGTCCTTGCTGGTAGACACCAGAAAGGCCTTTTGAAAGAAAAATATAAATCAGTTCATTAGCTATAAAATAAAAAACAAAAATTTTTCTTAGCATTGAACACACAGGTTTGATAAGGGACATAAACTCGCATGCCATGGTCATTAGTGACCAGAATCTTAATTATTCTCACTTGGTACAAAAGACTTACTATGCACAGAGGATCACCTGTACATTTTATGAGACTAAAGGAGCTTTACTAACAAAAACTCGCTCTTCTTAGATAGAATAAGCAAAGAATTTTTGCTGTTAACTAAAAGTTTATACAATTTAAGGTTGAATTAAATTCTTTGTTTCGTACCTGATGTTATACTTCTTGACAAAAAACCCCAGGAAATCTCCAGTCCAACAGTTGTTAGAATTTCAAGATTATGATTACCTTTAATTTTCTAAAATATTATACACTGATAATTACATTTTAAAAATGGATATTTTAAATCTTTTGAAACCTCACAGAACAGCTTTTGTCTTTTAAAAAATAACCTTTTGAATTTACCTTTACTTAACGTACTTACATTTTTAATTGTTAAATCTGAAACCCCTGTGGATAAAGACCTCACCTTCTTTTTGGTTTGGAAAGTACATAACCTATTTTGGATACTGCTGGAAATAACTTTCACTGCTGCTATTTCCAATAATAATTAAAATACTGACCACAGTGGTCCACTAAACCATGCCAAAAATGGCCCTTCCCGTATTTACAAAACAAAAGTGAACCAGTTGCAACAAAATATTCTTTTTCAGCATTAAAACATTCAAAACAGGTATAAAATATGGAGGCCTATACTTAGAAATTGCAGAGGAAAAGTTCAGCTGGAACATTTGTCTAGACTGTAGCAGTATGTATACTAAAGCTTGATCAACAGGTCTTTGATGAACCTGGTTCATGTCACTAAACAGCAAAATGAAAGGAATTGGGAAGAGATTCACTTTTAAAAATGATTCCTTCAGGCTAACAAGTCCCTGCTGTGTCTCAGCAAAAAACAGAAGTGAAAGCAGCATATTTGAACCTATATCCTCATGATATGTCTTTAGGCAAATAATTTCAAACAACAACTATCCAAAGTTTTTAACTTGGCCACAAATATTTCTAATAACAGGGTCAAAAGCTGTTAGACACCATTAACTTTATTAATACTACAATCCCTTTTGTGGTCTAGACAGTCGTGGTATCATGATCTTTTGTTCCTTTTGGTAAATGATCCTAAGACACTGCTGCTGATTCCAAACCTTCTAGATTTCCCTACCCAGATCTCTACTCCCTCCCTAGCCTGCTGCTGTCTGGCCTTCTCAGGCAGACCAAGAATGTTCAGCCCTGATTGGTGACTTTTTTAGCCATAAGCACAAAGGATCAAGAGGACATCAAATAGACCAGGTCAGGCTTACCATACTGGAGATACTAGATTACTGAATCTCAAGCAAAGTGACCTTTCCACCAGTTCAGTATAAGGTCCACCTGGCAGGAATTTCAGCCTTCCACCTGCCATTTGAGGGATGGACACATATTATCTTACCTGACAACCCTCAGGTTTCTTAAGGGGCTATCTTTTCCCAAGTAAGGAACTCATTCACAAAGTGGGACTTGAATTTGGTCCTCCTTTGCTTACTAAGAGCGTAAGAGCACCATTTAAACCTATGCAATGTGTTCTCCCATACTCACCTCCATGAAAACAGCTAGTAGCAATTACACTGGCAAGCGGAATGGGTTAGATCAAAACCCTTATGGCAGATCTTTTTTCTACTGCCTTCTACCCAGATAAAGTCATTCTAAGAACTCATCCCAAATTCCTGCTCAAAGTCATTACAGACCTCCTTTCAGGGCAGCAGATCAACCTTCTTCCCAGAGCCTCAGTCCTTGCGTAGAGGCTTTGCTGCATTCATTGAACCTTAATTGAAAAAATGTAAGATGTTCAGAATGGCTTCTCGGCACTTTTGTATCCATAACTGAGAGATCGAAAGGTGCAGCAATATCATCTTTGAGGCTGTCGAGCTGGATCTCGGGCAGTATACAACTGTTCTGTGAGACAGTTAAGGTGGAGCTGCCATCAGTCATAAGGGAACATTCTCCCAGAAACAATGCTACTTCCATGGCATCCCTTCTAACGTTCCCATAGGAAACATTTGTAGGACAGCTTCATTTGTAAATTCCTAAATTTGTAGGACACCAGGCATTCCCTTAATTCATTTACAAAGCATTACACCATTGTGGTTGGACTCTTCTTTGTTGGTCAACATTGGAGCTGGTCAGAAAATTTCCAGTGGAACAGTTTTGTATTAGAACATCCCATTTTAAGAAAATCATTCTTTGTTAAATCTTTTTGATTTTGATACTTTGTTTTATTTTTTTTTAATATCAGAATAACCCATTCTGACATTTTCAAAATGAAAAGTTTTGATGTTCTATTCCCAAATGATTTTTTTTCCATTTTGAAATGGAAAATATAGATTAAAAATGTAAAAAAGTATCAGAACTGAAATAAAAAATTTAAAATGTATTAATCTTACATGTGGTGATTAACCTACAGAGAGAGGTAGTCAGCTGTGTTAGTCTGAAGGCAGGCAGAAGGCTGGGTAGATTTGTACAATATAGACTAACTTAGTAAGACATATATCTAATAGCATGAGCTTTGTATGAAGTGAGCATGGACTCACAAAAGTTTATGCTATATAGCTCTCTGATTTAGTTAATCTATAAGGTACAAAACTATCCTGCTGTCTGATTAATCTGACATAAATTATTATTGGAATTTTATTTTGAAAAACATGTCAAAATGTAGTTGTTCTGCCCTGATATGAAAGGTAGAAAGGTGATTTGAAAGACAGAAAAATATCAAAATCTTGAAATATTTTGCAGCACAGAAAATAGTCTTTCTCAGCAGGTGTACTCATCAGCAAACTTCTCTGAACAGTTTTTGGTTGAATGCTAACTAATTTCACTCCAAGCCAGGTTGGGGTGAAGGTGCAGAAAAGGATTAATGATGAACTTGGAGGATATGTATGTGTAAATCATTAGATGGGAATAAGGGTGATTTTTAAATTTCCAACATCCATAGTATAATAATATACTATAAGTATAATATTTTTATGAACTTTTCTGAACTTGCCCAAGTTGAAGTTTTATGCATGTAGAACACTTGTTTTTTTTGATTTGAGAAAATTCATGTAGCAAAGCAGGTTTTATACTAAAATGCCATCTCATGCAATTGTGGAGATGCTTAATATTTTTTACTGTCCAACTAGGCAACTGCTTTGGTTTGCTGCCCCTCCTCACACAGTGTTGCTGTAGGCACCAAAACAGGTCATGTCCATTTCATTGATGCTACCAAAGTGAAAACCCCACGGGTGGTTCACCGAGTTCTTCTTACCCACTTTTCTGTGCTCTGTTTGAAGTAAGTATGTAATGTCAAAGTGCAGGGAAAGATGTGACTCTGAGTCTGTCAAGAGATGTGTGAACACAAGTGACACATTGTGGAATGAATTCATGATAAGGACAATGTATAACAATATTACTTTGCTAGAGTATTCTCCTCTGTAAAGTGGTTTAAACTGGAGTCGACCAGGAAATGTAAGCCCATGGAAATGCTTAAGATATTGAAGACATTTTCTGTACCAAAATAGGACGAAAAGTATTTCACAAGCACCAAATCTGAATGTTTTAAGTCAGTTAAAACAGTTTGTTTCAGTGTCTATCCTTATTAATTGTTTCTATAATTATATTAAATTTCAAAATGAAAACTTTCAGACAAGAAAAATTAGAATGACTCATTCTAAAAATGTCAAAGCGATCTATTTTAAGCCATTTCAAAACTTTTAGGAGCATCTTCTGTTTCAACAGATTTCCTGTGACCCTTTTCTATTCAGAGTGTGGGTTTTGACAGAATAGCATTTTTGGCAAAAACCTTTTATCAAAAAATTCTCAAATAATCTTTTTATAACAACAAAAAGATAGAAATCACTTCTTTTGAATTTGGCCACCTTTCTAGTTCGAAGTGAATTAATTACTCAGATAACTGGTACATAGCACATTACACAGCAGTAGTGAAGAGAGACTTTGACTGAAGACAATGAGATTAACCCCATCTTTGAAAAATTTTACAGAGAGCAATTAAGGTATTGATTTATAAGCTCTTTTCTGACAGATCAACCATGCATTGTAATTGCATAGAAATCATGGTATCTATTATTAGAGGTAGATAGGCTAAAACAATCTGAGATGATTTTTAAACCTAAGGTTCCAATGAATCAAGCTATTTTAAACCTACTGCGTAAACCTCCAAGCCATTGTTTTTCCCGTGATGCGTGTCAGTTATTTACTATTTATTATTTTCTTAACATTTCACAAATGTACTGGTTTCTATAGAAATAGCTGTAGCAATCCATTAGCAGAAGCCTCATTTTGATATTGGTGATTTTAAATAAATGTAAACATTTGGATGAGCACCAGCGGAGATGATAATTATCAATCTACAATATTTTTATATATAGAATTCATATTGAATCTGTTAAACATTAATAAAACAACCTATCATTTGAGAAGTTGGATGTTATCCTTTTGCATTATTATCACAGATAAATTATTAATAAAACAAACAGGGAGAGATTCATGTAATAAAGTCTGAAGTGGCAGACTAAGAGGAATGAGAGATTTAATTATGTAGCTAAAAAGCTGCTCTGTTACATTTCTAGCTTTAGATCAAAAGCCCACTAAAGTCAATGGAAAGACTGTAACTTCAGTGGGCTTTTGATCAGGCCACGCTGTGTAAATCCTATTGCTAAATCTCAGTTACGTCCAGGCACCCAGATAAAATGTGCACAGTTATGGTGGTGTAACTGAAAGCAGAATTAGGCCCTATGAATTACTGAATTGCTGAATTGTTTGGTGGGTAATCTGTATTTAATCACGCGCAGACAAAAAACTGTTTTAAGCAGATTGACTTTTTTTTTATCTAGTTATGATGAGGGTGGTCAATATCTCATTGCTGGAGCTGCAGAAGGACATATCTTTATTTTAGATGCCCGGCCCTCAAAATTATTTGAGGTTCTTGGATACCTAGGTAATATATGTAAGAGTGTTCATTCTTTTGTACTTTCTGCATTTGGCATTAGAATACTTTTGAATGGTGACACAGTTGATTTCTAAATTTTTTTCTTTAACAAATGATGTTAATTAGAAACCAAAGTTTTTAATACTGGGAGAGAATGGCTGTGAAGGGTGGCAGCAAAGGAGGCTGTCTTGGTTGTATCTATTTTTTCCAAAGTAAATGCTGGTGCTGCCTTGGGATTCAGACATAAATATATTTGCTGCCAGGACTGAGCCCTTCTCCTTTATTTCTTTTTTTTTTTTCCCTTTGCGGGTGGGCAGTTCAATGTAAAGTTGTCATTCAAACGTGGGTCACATCTAGAATTTGGCCTGGCCCTAATTTTTTTCTTAAAATTTTGCTGAAGGCAGCATTAGTACTATTTCCTCATTATGGGCCAGATGAGCCATTGGAAGAAAAATAAATCATTTGATCTATCTTTCTGCCCAAGAAAGTGAAAATGTTGCGAGAACTCCTCAAGGTCCACTCTGAGAGGGGCTGAGATTGATGTTGAGTTTTACTACTCTATGTCCCATTAACAGAGTACTGTCACAAAGCTCCATCACATGGACCTAATCTGGGGACCATTAGGTCTGTCAGTTTTGCTGATCAGTATTAAAGAAGACAAAATGATGCAACTGCAGGCTTCTTAACTGATTACAAGGATCCTTCTGAGAGATAAAAATGATGTAACATATTAATAATTAATTTTGACAGGCAGTATCGGGGCAGATGTAGAGGTGCAGCAGTTGGGTCGCACCCCTCTTCTGCCACCACCACTGCTGCTCCAAATGACCCAGGCTTAGCAAAGGAGTAGCATTAGCAATGTGCGGGGTCCTCCTTCCAGCATCTGCTCCCTGCCCACTCCTCCACTGGAGGTGTCACCCAGTGGCTTGAAGGATGACCTTCTGCTCTGCCACTGTCCCTGTCCCTAGCTGACACAGGCAGGAAGGGATGTCCAGGGCTCCTCAGGCCTTGCTCTGCAGGAAACAGCTGTGCAGGGAGCTGGACTAACCAAGGGACAGCAGCAATAGTACCCAGGTTCCTCCTGCTAGTACCTGCTCTCATCCAGCAGGGGACATTGCTGGTGGGGGCAAGTGAGGAGCAGGTGCTGGAAGGAGGAACCTGCATGCTACTGCCTCTGTCTCCAGCTGATCCCAGCACCCCACATAGCCACTCTCAACAGCCCACAGTTTGAGAAGCCCTGGATCACCCTTCCCACTCCTGGGAGCATCAGGGGGTGGGGGTGGTTGTCTCCATCCCCCCTTTGCACACCTGTGCCCTGCCCAGTTCTCCCTGGGGCTCCAGCTGTGCCTAATCCCCACCTCCTCATGTTCTGAGGGGCAGTGTGCCATGCCCCCCTTTAGTAAATGCTGGATCCACCATGGGTAGTATGTATCCTTGTCTTAACTTGGAGCCTAAAATATGTTGTTTTATTGTTTGAATTCCATGGTCATATTTGGATGTATGAAGCTTCATTGATTGCAACACCCCTGAGGATTAGACTTGGTATGCAATGGCATAAAGTGAATATTTGCCAAATTTGCACAGTTATGGTTCTAAATAACTGGCAGATATTTTCCAGCTGGATCAGTGCCCTGCTAGGCTTTCATCCAGTCCTGTTCAGAGTAGTCAGTACTGAAATGTGAGGTAGTTTAGCCTCATTAAAGGAACTCCTGTTTCAAAATTTCCTGTACCATAAAAAATCTGATATTCCAGAGGTGCTGAGCATCTGCAGTCCCTATTGACTTCATCTGCAGATCTGAGCATTCAGCACCTTTGAAAACCAGACTGTTAAGTGTTCCTATTCTGTTTTATATGGTTCCCCAATGAGAACAAATTTCATGCAGTAAACTAATTTAAGTGTTGGTCTCCATCTGCTTTCAGTGTTGAGCAGCGAAGTCCTTGGCCTTTCTACAGTTTATGATAAGGACACTGAATTAGTTGAGGTGATGGCACTTCTTTGTCCTGCAGATATCAAAAGAGCAAGACTGGAAATCTTTTGTCTGCCATCAACACTCACAATAGGTAAATGAAATGCATCTTTTCTATGGTGTTCCTTTCAAACTTGCACATGCTACTGCAGTCCCTTGCACAAAGGGCTACCAGTCTAATTAGTTTTATCTACTATATGCATCATCCTGCTACAGGATTTCTAATAAAATTGTCTGGAGATTTCCCTCAATCACATGATTCATGATGAATTGAGGAGACAAGAAAGGCAATAAGTAGGGAGAGAATAGAGGGAGAGGTAATTTATCTCTGGTATCACAGTGCCATCACCAAACGATTATTATTTTTAACTGGGTTCACCAGGGTAGTTCCCAGGGATCCTCCACAAATGGAGACCTGTCACACTAGGCACTATACAAACACATAACACAAAACAGCAGTTCTGGGCAGCAAAAAGAGACAGAGATGGGAAAGAAGAATTACCGCTATCCCACCAGATTTACAGTGGATTACTAGGGACCATCTACATTATTACAGGAAACATTAGCAGTTAATATATAATGAATAATAATGACTTTCTGTCTATCCATACATCCACTGGAGTACACAAAAAGCAATATTTTAAAAGCATTTAAACTTAAGGCTATTACAGCAAAAGTACTGATAAAATGTACAGTATTAGAAAAAGGAGGGAGTTGGAATTGACTTTAAAGGCTAACCCTATTTCTTTTTCACTCAATAGATTTCTAATAGGCTTCTGGTAAAGTCTTGGCATACACTATCAGAATTGGGGAGGCATCTCTACTTCATATGGGTAGCCATGTAGTCCTGTTATGCCTTCAGTGGGGACTTATACCAGCTTTTGTGCCCCTGGAGGTGAATTCCACTTTGTTCTGCAGAACTGCACAGTCTTCCATTCATTTCAGTGGGCAGCTCTTAGACATTTCCAGAAGCAGAGCCTCTGTTACACAGCTGGTGCATATCTCCATTCATTCCAGTAGGGAATTTTAACTATGCTAAGATGGCTCTGTTGGCTTGGAATTCTGTGTCCATCTTACTATGCCTGTGGAAGACATGTACATCTTAACAGGACTTGTTCTCCTTTTTTTGCCTGGATGCTTTCTCTCTCAGCTGTTTTGTGGCCTAGGGACAACAGGTAGGTTAGTACTCTGTCTGGTTTGTGGATTAAAACACTGTTTCGTGATGTGGGAGCTCAGGGGCAGGTGTACCTAGCATCAGTGTTCCCAGGTCACCCCTGTCCTAGACAGGTGCAGTGTAGATAAACTAGCAGAGACAATGTTAAAACTGGAAATCCTGGCTCCCAGCCCTCTGGTTGGAGTATTAGATAATGCTTCCCCCTGCTGATATTAGCAGGCTTTCGTAACCACTATTTTCTTTTAAAGGAGGAAGTAGCTACTCTATTGATAGTGTCTCGCTTCCAGCTTTTCTCTCTCTTAATCCTATAGACAATGATGAGTGTGTTGATGAAAGAGGCCTGCTAAAAGAGAAGGTCATTCAGAAGCAGCAGTATGAACTGGATTACCCACTGAGCTCAGCAGTCAGGCAGAAGGATGGCACCATATATGGCTACTGTAGCCATGCACCTTTCATCTGTAAATACAATCTTGCCAGCAAGGTATGTTCCTCATGCCATTTTTTGGGTAGTGATAAAATACTGTTATCTTCCAATGAAAGCAATGGGTGAAGTGAACAGAACATCAAATAAGCAAAATCTATTCAAATTGCATCTTTGCTACTTTCAGGTAACAGGTCAGTCCTTTGTGGTAGCCTACGTGGTGCTTACTGCAGTAGTTCAGCCCAAGAGAAATGCATCACAGGCTATCACCTTCCCAGAGAGATCATTTCAGTGTTGTGTATGTTTTAAACAGTACATACTGTACCTGCATTATAACTGACACCTGATTTTTAAAATACAGTCAGTTTTCCTTGATTCCTTTCCCCCTCAAAGAGGCCTCCCAGGAGATCCTGCCATAGTCTCCTTTTCTGAAGTCCAGGGTTCATACTCTATTGCTTTCCTTTCTTCCTTTTGTCAGGATCCTGGACTGTAATTCAGTTTCAGTGAAAAGGTGCCTATCCAGATCTCTAGGTATGTGCCACAAATGAGAATAATTCAATAATTTCTCCAATTCAGAAAATCAGACAGAAAAGAAAATAGGGCTTTTTTCCCCAAAAAAATAACACCCCCTCCAATCAAAACTCTAGCCATCAGTTCCCCCCACACCTATCCAAACACCTGGGAAGAAAGAGATGGACTCCTGTGAACTATGTCCTGGCAGGCTAACAGATTCACATTACTGTAAACCAAGTAATAAGCTCATTTCCAAAGTTGAGGGCTTCTAAGAAGAAAAGCTTGCAAGTAGCCTTTCCCTGTCTGAGCAATGAGGTTTCAAATCGGGTATCTCCCTTGATTACAGTTCCTAAAACATCTGGTATAGCCCTTTTGGTAATGACAGAGGGTGAGAACTGCATCACAATACCAGTTTTTCTCACCCCCTAGCCTATACCTTTTGCAAAACCCTTCACATTGCAGTAAGCTACTTGTCATTATTGTCATTCAGTTTTACCTGGCTTGCTGTTTGTACTTCTGCCATCTGATTTGTTGTCTGATATTTTTGTATCGACAGAAAATCTTGAAAGACCCAACAGTTGTTTTCTCGGAGGAAAGGATACAAAGCAATCAGTCTGGACGGGGGTTCCTCTTTTTGTCACCCAACAACCAGTGGTTGGCCTCAGTGGCGGAGGATGGACTTTTGTTTATCCGTAATAGTGTTACTTTGGTAGGCATCAACACATTGCACCTGTATGGATTAGAGCAGTGGAGAAGTGTTAACAGCTCTCCTGCTAAACTGCATGGAATCATTTAATGAAAGCAAATGTAAAATCTTACAGAGAAATGTGTGCTGAGTTTGAAGAACAAAAAGGAAATGGGATTATGTATATGACAAATGTGACTTTTTTTGTGCCAATCTTTTGTTTTCAGAAGTTGTCTATGATCACTTCCTGCTTACATTTTTATGCAGTAAGTTACGGGATAGATAATGTTGCTACTCATCTAAAGAATCAGCCTACTGCTTCCATCCCAACAGCTCACCTCAAAGCTGCAGGCAAAACTTGGTCAAATGTTTAAACCCACATGTTCTGCTATGGTGTGTGGCTCTTAATGGCATTCTGGATAAAGGTTTATCCTAAAACAGAGGTGCATGTTAGATGAGGAAGCACAGCAATATCATTTTAGAGAAAAGCTTTTCAATAACCATCTATTTGCTCCTGACACGATAATGCACCTGTAACTCTTCCAGGAAACATTTGCTCGGGCACATTGCCATTCATATCAGGGAGGCGGAATCAGATCCTTGGCATTTTCAAAGGATGGCCAGTCCGTGCTCATCAATGGTGTAGAGGATGGTGCCCTTGTGTGTCTGAAATGGAAGTACGTATAAGACGATAGAAAATACTGACAATGTAAATACTAGTGACTAAACAGGCTAAGCTCTGCATTCAGTTTAATGCCTTTAGTAGAATTTGTTTCATTATGTGACAGTTTTGTTATCTTTTCTACAATTGAATAGTGTAATATACAATCTGGAACAGCAGGTTGAGTTACCAAACTTGAACGCTCAGCAGACAGCTGACATCACCTGAGTAAGCTGATCGGTCTTGCTATGCCTACAGTTCAGGCTTATGTCTATCTTTGAGATTAGTTATATAGGGCACTTTAAGGATAAAATGTAAAACCCTGGAAAAGGCAGATGTTTGTAGAAGAATAAAAAAGCTAAACACTTAAAAAGGAAAACAAGATAAGGAAATAAATTATTGACCTGAGGCTACCTGTAGGTATTCTGGAATGAGTGTGAGTGCACTTAGCAGTTAAATTTCTAAATATCAATATTCATATCTAATCATGATATACTCATTCTGTCCAGTGCTGCAGTTTAATCATTTTATTAGCATTAAAGCAATTAAAATATATGTTTCAGGAAGGATTAAAATTTTTCACTGGTTCTTGGTCTTTTCTAGGTCATGGCTGTAAGTCAGTCAAATCAATGATCCCTCTCCCAACCAGATATAGGCAAGGGAGAGTAGTTTTAACCAATAGGAATCTGATGCTCTGTTCTGAGAACTTGTGATATAGCTGAAGTAAAGTGTCTGTTTGCAGTAATCTGTGGTTGCAACTGTGATGTAGAAGGCGATGTGATGGTGTTGAAAGGTTACAATTAAAAGTTTAAGATTAAAATATACCTCAAAATGGGGAACCTACTCATACTCCTAATGAATGCATTTAAGACCTGTGCACAGGAATCACATAGAGATCGCTATACTCCAATGAGTACTACACACAAGCTCCCTAATAGCCCCAAATTAGTCAGAAGTCCACTAGATTCATATTTATATGGACACACAAAAATCCTGTGCAGCACTGCAAAACCTCAGCCACAGGAAAAGACCACAGTGTCTCTTGAAAAATGAAGTCTGTCATTGAAGCTGGCTCCTGAACAGAGCACTGCAGTATGAAGAATAAGGAATTATAACTGCTCAGGCAGATGCAGAGATTAGTGTTGACCCAACCTGAACCAAAATGTGATTTGGGGAATATTAAAACATCATATTTTGATTTTTAAAAATGTTGAAACAAAATGTTTGAAATTTTCAGGTCAAAATTGTTCAGACAAATGTCAATATTTTGACTTTTGTCCCAAGATGGATGAAAAAATGGTGAAATATTGGAACTTCCTATGGAATAGAAACTCTGTTTTTACCACATTAATGTATTGTAACAAGGGGTTTAAAGTTCTTCATTCTTTTGCATAATATACAGAAATAAACCATGTCCGTTTCCCCCTTTTTTACCAGGATGACTGGAGACGTTGACATTAAGGAAGCTGATGAGTATTGGCAATCCACTCTTGCTGTTCTGAACAACTCCATATACAATGAAAATAATGTTCTAAAATGTATGAGAGACTGCCATGCTGCTTCAAAATCCATTCTGCCGTTATCCTCTGAAAAGGGACACAAGGTGTTTAAACTTCATAAAAAACTGAAACACATAAAAGAAAATATTTTAAAAGAAATGAGGAAAAGATTTAATTATGTAGATACTCAAGGCAAAGCTTGATCCACCATTACGAAGAGGCAAAGGCAGCTGTATCCTGAGCAGGGTCTCTGCCTCTAAACAAGCTAACAGAGAAGGAGGGGAGATCCCCTGAGGTTTGGCCTATAGTCAAAATTGAGTTCTTTATCCTGGAACAGAATTGTCATGAAAATGAGCACCATTGTTATACTAGATCTGTTCAAATCTGCCATACGCCATTAATTTTTATTAACATCATTTTTTTTCCATGAGAGGTGTAAAGTTGTGGCTTTTTGCCTAGCCAGAGTTTGAGAGATGATAATGCAATACAAGTTTTTCCAATTTTGCACAAAAAAAAATTGCATTGGAATTTGCTGGGATTATTTAAGATAGTAGTTGTTTGCTTTGCAGAATCAAGCCCCAACATAACAGTTACTTAATATCCATTTTGGCAAAGGATTCCTTATGAATTTTTATTTACCAGAGTTCTTCAATTTGAAGTCTTACACTTCCTTTTTTTTCTCTGAACTCTCATATAGTTGATGCAATTTTCTATAAAAGGCCCAAAATGCATGAATAAATGTACGTGTGGAATGTGTATTGTCGGCACCGGACATTGTGGACATGAATATGTAAATGTGTCTCAGAAATGTTTCATTTCAGGAAAAACAGCAGAAGCAACCAAGTGTGGAGTTGACAGATGAAGATGAAAGCTTCATTAACTTGAACTCAGTCAGCATCGGTGAAATGACATGGATGAAACAGAAAATACAGAAGGTGCTTTTATAGAACAGGGACCTAATCAAGGCAAAGGGTTTCAAAAGTGACAAGTGCCTTGTGAGAAGACTCAATTTCTGGGTGCCAAACTTGACTCTCTTTCATGGTTTGATTTTTCAGACACAGCATGCTAAGTTTTTTGGAAAACCAAGTTGTTGGTTAAGCAACCCAACCAAAATCACTCGTTGCTTTTTGAAATCCTCGGCTCATAATTACAAGCTCCCTTGGACAGGAACTACCCTTTTGCTCTGTGTTTGAACACTACCAACCATAATGGTTACATGACTTTGACAACTGGAGCCATCTGGCAGGCAAATATGCTTGCTGCACAAGCTCATAAAGCCATTTTTCAAAATATCACATATGTGGATCAATAGCAAACCAAGCAATTGAATCCCCTTGTTCACATGGGTCATTCTAAATTCCACAGCATTGTTAAATCAGTCTTCAGGATTTTGATGTAAAATTTAAGAGATCCTGGAGGTATAGCAGGCCAAGGCTGAGGGGACACTCATAATGTGACTGAAGGATCAAACTTTGGAAAACAAAAATGTCTCCCTAGCCTGAGAGTGGGAAGAGAGGAGATTGAGATCCATGTTCTTTAGAACAACTGCTTTTATTGTTAGTATGTATAATTTTCTAAAATGGTTCCGATACTAGCCATTACTGTGTATACTGTCTGTGTTTGGGTTGGGACAAGGAAAGAAAGCAAAGGAAATGTCTGTATATATCATCATCTTCCCTGGATGATCTTGGGAATGGCTGCCTGAGGCACCTGGGGGTAGAGCGCATTCCCCACCTGTGTTGGTTAAAAACTTAAGAAACTCCAGGTCATCCCCATTCAGCTTCTAGCAGGGCAGCTGCACACCATAAAATTGTGAATTCACTGTAAAGGAGAGTGGAAGAAACAAAATCCAGAATCACTGAGATTCAGGGGAATTGTAAAATTTCACCTGAAAGTTTAACAAGGAAGACTTTGGAGCCCATGGGTAGGTGGCAACAGGAGGAGAGTGCCATCTCACTGCAGAGGCAGTAAACTCTATCCATCCACTCCTCTTCTGTGCACATCAACCCCCAAAATGAGGTGATGAAGACACCGGAGGGTCATTCCTAGCACCATGTACCAAACCTGTGTTTCTGGCATGTTCGTTTCTGGGGTTGATGTGCTCAGAGTAGAGGTGAGCAACATGTATTGCCTCAGCAGTGAGACTGCTCCCTACCCCCACAGTTCAAAGTCTCTATCTCTTCCTGAATCAGTACCACCTATTCTTTTCCTTTTCTTTTTAATTAGCCCAAATGAAATGTATAGCAACAAAACTTTGAATCTGTAAATATAATCTCCACCTTGGAGAGCTCTTGTAGTTGGTTTTGCCCAGTCTTTGTTCCTCTGAGCAAGCCTGTAGGCTTCAGAAGGAAGATTCCTGGGAATAAGAATATTGGGCTTGGGCCCACAAAGATACTTGTGGGGCAATATCATTTGTTGTTTCAATTAATAACCCCTGTGGGGATTTTTACTCAGTTTGTTTTTCCTGACAGTAATGTTATTTTTACTCAATTCTTTTTTATTATCCCCATCTATTTTCATCCTTCAGTAACATATTTATTATATGTCAGGCTATCAAAGAAGAGACGGAGAAGTTTGCTGACAAGAAAAAAGAGCTGAAAAAAGGAATTAAAAGTCTTCGTAAAACTGTGAGTGTTTGAAATCATTTACAAGTCACTTACACAGAGATATTGATTCAGGCTGCCAGGTTTAGTTTGATTAAACCTACCCCAGAGCTCTAGCACTCTGGGCAAAGGGCAACTTATAGGTATACCATCTATGGCACATTCCAGGAACCAGTTTGTAAGTCAGTCAGGTATCAAAGGGGTTCCTCGTTCCTCCTTGTACTAGAGAGAGCATAATTTGTGCCATCTCTGTATCTTGTGCAGCCAAACTCCCAGTGCACCAGCCAGCTCCTGTTTGTTTGCTCACTGCACACATACTGATGTTGCTATACCCCTGGACTGCTGCCAACAGGGGAGTAAGGTAGTGCCTTATAAACTGGTCTCACTTTGATTCACTAGTATATGTGTGCACCATTCTACTTGCCTTTTCACTACAAGGACTGTAGAGCACTACAATACAAATGCCCTTAGAGACTGAATAGAGAACTAAGCTCACAAAGAAGGCCCCTACCTGGCAATGTTATCTTGGAAGTGTATACCTCCCCTCACCTCTCCTTGAAGTATATGAGTGTTGAAGATACTGGAAACTTAGTGCCTTGCAGAGACTAGGATCAATATGATCATCCTGAAATATGTTGGTCTTGAACTGTCAAATAGCATAGGCCCAAATTATATCAAGGTAAAGGAGAAGGGAGTTACCATGCGTTAGTTGTTCCAGAAGTAATTGTTTTGTGTCAGCTCTTACTATGCAGGAAGTGGAAGCAGTACTTTGGGGCACTCAAGGTATGAAGAGGTTTTCTAACCTCCCTGTTAATTCTGTATAGTTTGTTCTTCTGTCCATGATTTACTAACAACACTTCTGTTCATACAGCCCAGTATGCTATTATTTATATTTACACTGATATCACCCTGTTGACTCATATTTTGCTCATAGCCCACCATGCTCCAGGTTCTTTTCTGAGGTACTGCAGCCTAGCCAGTCATTCCTCAGTTTGTACATGTGCATTCAATTGTTCCATCCTAAGTGGAGTATTTT